ACAGAGAAAGACTTTTTGCTGAAAAGTGTCATTATGAAATAAAATATTCAGAAATAAAACTGTACCAAATAAACAAAATAAAATCTTATATTTGTAGTTATGTCGTATGATGATTCATCTTATATTTATGTGATTCTATTTATGAATCACATTTTGAAAACCCACATGTAGATTTACCTTGGAAAACCTGGAGGTGCTTTAACGCAATTCCAGTGTAAGTGATTCACCTTGGACCCGGATCATTTAACACTGTTGGCCTTATCATAAGTCTGTATTACATGCTTTTTCTCTCGAACTGAGATGACAGTTACTGATGATTGAGCAGTTTTGAATACCTGGCTGACAATACTATTCCAGACCTGTTCAGTCCTGTTATGTAACACAGCAACCAGTCCATGGTTTCCCATAACAAACTGTAAACACATGGTGTAATAAATCAGTCATTTTTCTAGTCATGGAAACAAATGGAAAATTAAAATGCTGTCCTGGAAAATGTTAATGTCTTTAGCCTCTCACTCAAAACCCCTACCTCTCCTGCATGCACAGCAATGTTAACTGTATTTATAATTCATTTTAAACTTTTCTGTAAAATAAAATTAATTCTATCTGATTTGAACTGTTACTTACATGCTGTGACCAAATTAATGTCATGGTTAGAGGAAAACTGTAGTAATCATAAACCCTACATCAAAAAGGAGGAATAGAACTGGAGTTCAACGTGTTAACACTAGGTCTATTTCTTAATTTCTTAAAATGACTGGGAACCCTGATGTATGACATTCATGGTTTCTACCTCAGAAATTCATTAAAAAAGTTAGCTTTATTTTTATTTCATTCCAAAATTATATTGACTTAATTGCAACTGTCATCCATCTTTTCTATAAAATGTACCCCTAAACTGTGGCAGGGTAGCTGCATTTTTATCTTGGATAGTGAAATGTATGTTATATAATGTTTTCCAACATTATATATGAAAAAGAGCATCTATTTTATTATGTTTTAGATTCATAAATATAAAAAGTGTAAAAGCTACTTTCATGTTTTTAAGAAAGAAATGAAACTATATGTTAAGATCTTCAGCAAAAAACACTTGTGACACTGTTCTCCCTAATTAATGTTTTCACTTAAGCCACTTTCTATTGGTTTATGTTGACCCCTGTCATTCATTTATTTTTTGTTTTTTGTTTTTTATTATAATTTGTTAATCCTTTATTTACTTGTTTGTACATTTACCTATATATCTATTTACATGGAATTGATATTTCAGTAGTTATTTCATTGTATTGTTAATTGGATTGAATAATACAAATAAACAAGGTTTTTGCATTAATTTGAATGGCCAGAATAATTGACAGCATATAGTAAAACATTTTACAAAAATAACTTGAACTGTTTGTCTATGTAACAGATGAAACACAATGCAGAACCTTTTCTCTGCCATAAAACTAAAATGAAAGGATTTTTTAAAATAAACAAACAGTTTTCATTGTGCTAGATTTTAGTGGGTGCTGCGGGCCCCTTAGCACCCCTACTTCCAGCTCCAAGTGTCAAGTGCGCCATTCACAAACAGGCGGCGTCAGTGTAAAACTGGTGATGCCATTCCCGTTGAGGACCACTTTAGAGGGGAAAAAACAAAAACAAGTCAGAATGTATGAACACAAAGTCATTTTTTCAAACACAATTTAAAAGTGTACATAATAATAAAAAAATATTTAGAAGAAAAAATGATTTGTTTTTTAACCATTCAACCCCCCACAGACCACATGGTACGGTCCAGAAGCCCTGCACTCTGTTGCTAGGAGGCGGAGAACGCCTCATCGCTAGAAATAAAACGGAGAGAAAAGTTCTGCCTCACACTTCTCCTCACCTTGGGCATGGTTTACGGTTCTACTTTATTGGTCTCTGTACCGAGGGATAACTCGGTGGATATTTCGGTATGGGACGGTTTGGCATAAAAGCACGTTTAATACATGTTTTGCTTCTTCAACCGTTATAGAGCTCGAGCATATTAACACACTGACTAAAGTGGCGTATTTATAATTGTTTACAATGGCCGCCGACTGCTCTCAAGAGGCAATTTTGGACTTTCTCACAGAGAAAGGGGGCAAAGTGACAAACACGGATTTAATTGAGCAGTTTAAGGCCGTATTCCCGGAGGAACCGGAGAAGAAAGCGGCCGTCCGTAACAGATTCAAAAGCTACGTTGACAACGTTGCTTTTGTAAAAACCGAGAGTGGAGTTAAATATGTCTGCCTGAAGAAAAAGTTTCGCGCTTCGGTTAAAGAGAGGCATAACTCGAGTGTCCGCAACGGGACAGAAAGGGAACCAGAACCAGCTTATGGTGAAGAGAAGCTGGTGTGCCGTTATCCCGGAGCTGCACACCGAGCAGACCGCGGCCAGATTAGCGGTGATGACGCAGCGGAGGATCCGGTTCAGCCTCGTGCCGCAGGCGCTGAGCTGCAACAACAAACACCTGGCTCAGGTTACGGAAATGACAGCCAGGTGAGAGTTCCGCATGCTTTCACTCCGGCAACAACTTTACCGGACAAAACAGACGACAAAAGTAAGTGTCATGAGTTTGTTTGTTTAGTTGAGGAAGCGGGCAGAGGCTCAGGTGATATGGGGAACAGAGGAAGCTTTCGGAGAGACAGGAGGGAGTCCAAGAAGGAGCAGGTTGGGAAAGCCCCTAAAATACCAGAGATTGCAGTCATCGAAGCGTCGCCTCTCCCTGCTGAGGGTTCTATGTTCACCCTGCCTGGGCCTGCACAAACTGGTCCTACAGGGCAGGTAGACAGATCTACTGCTGGACCCGATCCCAGAGACAGACCGGTTGAGTCACTAGAAGGCCTGAAGGAAGAGCTCAGTAATGTGTTGACCAGACGGCGAAACTCAAAAGGCTCCCAGCGCAGAGCCAGGCGGCCACAGTTGGACGACGGGGAGGATGACGAAGGGCAGTTGGATGCACAGAGTTTGTCTGGGAGCGAAGAAAACAGCTCCCCGAAAGGCAGCCGTCGACACTTCATCGAGCTCATGATGAACAGTTCGCCGCAGGTGAGGCGTAGCATGGTGTTGCGCAACTCGGTTTGCCTGTCCAGGAGCGACAGTGACTCACTCTCCTTGGTGTCCTCCAACCTGGATGACGACAGGGCCTCCGTCACTCTGGACCCGCTGGAACACGAATGGATGATGTGTTCTTCGGACGGGGAGTGGGGCAGCTTGTACCGCCTCCTCGCCACAGAGCCCAGCCTCATCCTGAGGAAGGATTTCGTCACCGGTTTCACCTGCCTGCACTGGGCGGCCAAGCATGGCAAACCCGAGCTGATAGCACTGATTATCAACTTTGCCAAGCAGCAAAATATTCCCATCAGCGTCGATGTTCGGTCCAACACCGGCTACACGCCGCTGCACATCGCCGCCATGCACAACCACATGGAGGTGGTGAAGCTCCTGGTGGGCGCCTACAACGCCGACGTAGAGATCAGAGACTACAGCGGGAGGAAAGCCTGCCAGTACCTCACCGACAACGTGAGCGTGGACATACGGGATATCATAGGAGCGTACGAGCGCTCGGACTCCGAGAACGCAGACCGCAAGGACGGGGGCCGCTGGAGGTTCTCCAAGGTTCTCCAGTCCAACCTGAAGCCCCTCAGGCTCCTCAACCCCAACGACTGTGACTCTTTGGACGGGGAGGCTCGACCCAGAGAGAAACCCCGCAGGAGGAACTCTTCATTCAGCAAGATGAAGCCCAAACTGCAGAGGCTGCGCTTGAGGACGTCGCAGATCGTCCACGGTACGTCGTTGGACCCAGAGGAGAAGGAAGAGTCTGCGAGGGGTTCCTTCAAGTCCAGACCTAAGACATATTTCTTTGGGTGAAATCATGACAGGAAATGGTGTCCACAGTGAAAACACAAAGACTGCTGGGGTTCAATATTTGTGGGTTTTATTTTATGTACCGGGTAATGCTGTGGAAGCCTTAGCACTCAATTCTGATTTATTTCTCGAATCAGATTTCTTTGTTCCGTTGTTCACATTATATATAAAATGTGGCTACTATCAGATTCCAGCGTGAACAGGTAACAGTCCTGAAGTGAACCAATATTGATCCAGAGTGACGTAAAAGTCCCTGCAGTGTGAACGTAGCCTTCGTGTTGATATTCAGTATCTAAAAATGGGATCAGCAAAGATTTGGTAAAAGTGGTCTGAAACCACATTAGTCAAATTGTTTCATGAGACTCAACATCTTCCTTTTAAAACATAATGAATATCTGATAACATTAACTCATATTCTTATGGAATCAGGTAACATCAGTGGTATCTATTAGCTAGGTTAGGGTTGTTGAACACTACCTTCTCTAACAGGGTCCCTAAACGTTTAAAGATCCTCTCCGGTCTGCTTGGAGTTGGAGTCGATGCCTTTTCAAGAATGTTAATGTGGAAATTATACTTCTATTTTGGAGAAAAAACATCAGACAAACTTTATTGCAAGCAGACTTTTTGTCCATTTATGTCTGGAGGGGATCTTTAAGTTAGTTTGAAGCGCAAACAGCATACAATCTGATCTTTCTATTCATAATTTAAATGATAAGGCTGCACTTATTCTATATTTTTCTTACACGACCACAAATGTGTCAGTCCGTCTCTCAATACCTCCTGACTCCTCTAGCTCAAAGCCCATTGGTTCCTGTTCAAGATTTTTCACTACAGACGCAACACAGTAAGGCTGTTTTTGGCTCCGTCCATGATCTGCCTCAGATGCACACTGCATTACAGTATTTATCAGTTTGAAAAGATTAGATGCTCAAACATCTGGTCGATGGTGGCATTGTGATCTGACTGCAGGTCAGCCTGCCTCTCTTTATCCGTCCACAGCTGACACTGAAGCCTCCTGACCTCTGTAATCGCTGTGTCACAAGATTGTAGTGTGAGGCCACACCAGAGGCAGTAAGAAGATCATTTTACATTTCATACTTTCCAGGACCAGAGCTTTAGTCTGGTGACTCACCAACTTTTGCGGGTGAAATAAAGTTAGAGACCTCCCCTGGAAATATGAAGCCATCTGGAGAGGGCGAAGTCTAAGAAACTGGGTAAATCCTTTGGTTAAGGCTCTGAGGTTTAAAGATGGTTTACTGAACTGGAATGCAGCAGAATGTACAATATTTTACAAGTTGTTTGGTGAATGTATTCATGACATAGTGGATGGAGAACAACAACATCAAATAAGCACAAAAGGACAGTTTTAGAGCATGGAAACAGAAAGTTATGAAGTGTTACACTAGTGAGTCTGACACAGCAGGGTTTCAATTAATCCACAACATGCTGCCTCTTGTCACAACTCACTGTACAAGCCATGCATGTTAAGGTTCTTAACTAGATGCCAGTGGAGATGAATGGCTTACATTTCTGGGAACACTTCAACAATGGTAAATTTCCATGATGTCATATATATCCAGTGATGGTTTCCAGTGATCATCTCGCTTTTTAAAATACCTTGTGAGTACACCAAGACTCTTAATAACTCTGTTATTATGCAAGTTTAAACCTCACAACATTTTCAGTGTTTACTAGAAGCATTTATACTGCACTGTTCATACTTTTCATACTATTCATACACTATTTTCATTAAGGATTTAATAGCTATTGCACACTTAAAACTGCTAACTAATATTGTCTCCAATAGAATTCAATTGCTAAATTGGCTATTGGTTGATATTAGCGTATACATGCCAGTATTGGTGTTATGGTTACAACGGTATGAGATTTTCATAGTACGATAAGAGTCTCAGAAAATATCAGTTCCATGGTATAACAGTATGCAGTCTTACACATTTATTATTATTATTATTATTATTATTATTATTATTATAGTCGTTTACAATGACAACCCTTAATAGACCCTATAATAAATGAAATGGAAACAGAAGCCTTATATTAAGTCCTTTTATTTGTATTTTAGTTCAGTGTATGGAAGCTCATTCCTGCCAAGTATTTAAATTGATAGATGAAAAATTAGCATGGATTAATAATAAATAAAGTACAATATGAATTAGTAGAATTTCTCATTATTACAATTTAGCTAAATCAAATTAAGATATATTAAGTCAAAGATGTGACTTAGCATCAAACAAGCTATAGTGTCTTAAAATTATGACTTACTAAGTCATACTTGTGAAACACTGTCATCATTTTGAGATACTCATTTAAAATCTAATCATTCCTAATTTTTTTACCATCTTTTTTTTTCAAGGTGGCATTAGGCTTCCGTACATGAGCTTTCTGTTCAGGTGCGGACTTCCATACTAAGTGGTGCTTAAAGAAAACACTTGTCCAACGCAATCTGCAGGCCGCATCTCATTGTGTTTAAGTTGAAACATGTTACATATAGTTTGCTGCACATTCTCTATCTCGAATTTACCGTACATTTTCCTTGACTCAATGGCACCTTCCATCTTTTTTGCACATTGTAACAAACTTAGATTTTTTATTTGCACACTTTTAAAGAGCTCGACCAATATTTTCTTAGGTACTTGCACTTGGGTGATGGAGGCCATTTTATTGGTGTATGTTTTTACTGATGAAATAAACTGTATGTCATTGCTCTTTTATAAAGGACTGTGTCTGATTTGTCTTTTGGTAGGGGCAAATCTGAAAATATGGATGGTTTCTTCAGGGTGTCCCCATGGTCTTATAATGATGGTCCAATAATATGAATTTTAGGCCTTAAAATATCTTAGTTTTTGGAATTTTTTTAGCCAGAACAGATGGGAAATAGGTCTTGCATTCATATTGGTCTTAAAAAAGTCTTACATTTATTCCTGTGTTTATGTTACCTAAAATCAGTTGTAGGCATTTTAGGGGACTTCGAGTTGTCCTTTGTTGTAGCTCTCATGAGGTTCTATTGGTCCCCAGCAGAATGAACACTTTGACAAAGTCAACTTTCCCACTCAAGAAAAGTAATAGTTTCAGTTTTCACCACTATAATCTGTCTACCCCACATGGCCAAAAGTATGTGGACAATGGACTCTTCCTGCGGTATGTGACATACGTAGAATCAGATCTTCCACGCACCATGTTGAACCTGGCTGCAGGGATTTACTCCCCATTCAGCTGGGTCCATGTGAAAAACCACATGAAGTAGCAAAAGCTGGACGTTCCAAGCATTGATCCATTAATTTTAGCTTATTCTTTTAATTATTTACTCTATTAGCTTTTTCCTTTTACTGTACTGAAAACTCTATTTTTTATACAACTATTTTTTTTTAATCTCCTCTCCTTTCTTGCAGTCAGGGGCAGCTGACAAATACACAGCATTTGACACCCAAGCTTGGTGTCAAATGCTGTGTATTTTTAATGTGTTAAAAATGTAATTGAATTAAAATGAACACATAATTTAATATTGTGTTATGGCCACATTTTAGACTAAGTGAAGGCTTTTGTTTAGTGTATTATGCATCATTTGGAAAAATGTGTTGATTTGGAAATAAAACAATCTTTGGATTTCTAAATGCAACCTTTAAATATGTATATTTAATGCTTTACTAATGCGCCACTATAATATTATGTTGTTCAAATATCTTAATCCCTTAAAGTGTCAATGCAACCGTCTGGCCACCCCATGAATATTCCTCTAGATCTGCCCCTGCTCTTAATTGCACATAAGACACCTTAAAACACCTAAATGAATTGTTATAGCTGACTCAATATGTGGATTTGTTTTTTTTATTAAATCATTAATTTTTCACATTTGTTGAGCTACTCTACAATCTCCCGAAGTATCGGCAGGTGGGGAATCACTGTTTCAGTATTCATCTGAGAAAGTTTGAGTAACTGGGAACCCTCTGTGTGGTTAGTTCACCCACTAGATGGTGCTCCAGCAGAGGGAATCATCCTGTGTGACGCCCGGCTGCAGCAGAGTCATCCTCTGTGTGTCATTATGACTCACCAGAGGTGGATCACACAGGCTGGATTCTCCACAGGGAGAGGAGGATAATCTATGGCTGCTGCACATAATAACAGATTGTGCTGAATTAATGCTTTTCATTGTTTCCCAAATTCTCCCACAGGGAAGTAAATTCCCAGTGAGCTGGCCTTCACATCCTCAAAAGCACCCTGTTTGGATTGAGTGAAAGATTACGTATCTCTTCTGAAGAATTAGTAAACCAAAGGTCAGCAAGTTACTGGCAAAGTGAAGTGGTATGTTTCTAAAGAGAAGCCTGGTTTGACTTTTTAGCCTGCCCAGACACAACAAGGATAGAAACGTCTCCTCATAATGTTTCCCTGTCAGACATGATGTATCTATCTGCTCTCAGGATTAGCCTCTGCACCAAATCCCATTTTCCTGTCTAGGGAGGCTGCCTTGAAATATCCGCTCAATTTAGACAGAAAAGCACAGATTTGTCAGGGTTATTCCTCAAGATCGTGTTGTTTTACAAGCTGGCCATGTTGCTTAACAATGCAAAGGCCAAGCTGTGGTCAACTCACAGCTGCCTAATGACTACATTTAGTATGTTAAGGAAAACCTGCACAGAATTTTTCTTCCTTCCTTCAAGCCTTAATTGGTAGATTGGCAAGAAGTGCAAAAATAAATCACAAAAATAAGTCTATTTAACATGTTCAACATCACATTTACACTGAATCCAATGGCACCAAGCATTTGATATACTGTTACTCCTTATATATTTCTCTATTACACTGTATTTAGTCGTTAGGTACTAGGGGTTACTCATTTTATCCCATAGGAATATATTATAAAATGTCTCTTAGGTGTGCACAATTGTAATACTGAACCCGAAAAGCCAACAGATTAGCATTTTTCTTAAGGAATCTATATTGTAACAGTCCAGAATATGTGTATCTGAAAAATGATGAAGATCTGAAATTCCTATCCTATTGTCCTAGAAGTGTTTTGCTGGAAAAAAAACTATGGAAAAAATTAAAAAAAGAATGTTAAGAAATACTTGAGCTAACCGACTTGAAAAACATGATGAGAGCTGCTCTCAAAACAAAGTACAGGGCTTCTCTAAATGCTGGAGACCAGTCACTGCAGTCTTACTCAATCTGGGCAAATCTCACTGACAGGGAAGTACTCAGATTACACATTCTTCTGTACTGTATGGAAGCCAAGAGAAGCCAAGTGCTCATGATATCTTTAAAGGACCAGTGTGTACGATTTAGTAGCATCTAGTGGTGAAATTAATAACGGCCTTAACTGAGTTAACTAAAACTAACCTAAAAACAAGATTGCCTCCACAAAGTATTGTTTTTGTGTTGTAACACCTATTCTGAACTTGTGAGATATTGCCCCTGACAAATATCCTCCATATTATAATAAAAAAATACAAATTTTTAAACAATAAAAACTAAACTGAAACTAGCAGACCTTTTAAGATGGAAAATAAATACATGAAATAATACAAATATAATAAAAAAATGACAAAAAAAAAAATTAGACTCAAAGGCAATTTATTTATTAGTGATTAACATATTTGTGCCATTAGTGGGACATGTTTCTTAATCTGTTGATATAATAAATTTAAACAGACTATTCATACGATTGTAAATTAATACACACTGGAAAAAGGCATCATTTAGTAATCATTGTAAACAATTGGTGTGCAATATATATAATCAATAAATTGGACATTTGATTGAAATTCAGTGTTTACTAACTGGTCCAATACTGAATGAAATGCTACAATGTGTTCTTGATGTGCATACCTTCAGTTATCCATCATCACTAGCTTCTGCTGTCTCACTGCTGCTGTAGACTGCAGAGTGTGGTTCTTAGTGAGTTCAATTAGTACTTGTGCAAGGTTTAGAATTGACCCTATTGTTTTGTGTCATTTAATACTCCTCACACACCTGTGTTTATTCATGACTTGATTGTGTGACCCATTACCAACATGTTACTGCCCCCTTGTGGCGTGGCATACCAGTATTCAAACAATATAAACTACGATTTCAAAAAGAAGCCAAAAAACACCCATACTGGCTTCAACACAGTGCAACTGAAATGTATAACAATAACAGACCCGAGGATATTAGAGACACAAGTGTCTTATGTTAACTCTGTTCATACTAACAGGAAGTAAGACAACATGATTAATTTAAAACACTTACACAATAAGTGCTGCAGTAGTCTATACGATGACTTTGGTCTTTTATGATCTTTTTGGAATATCAAGCAGATGGGGCTGTTGGACCTTTGCTGATTGGATACCTGCATGTTAGATCTAAATAATCACATCTAATCATTACTTAAAGCCCCTCCGACAGGGATCTCAAACTGTCGGCATGGGGGCCATTTCCGGCCCGCAACATGATGTCAAAAATATAATATAATATATAATGATTTTTATAGTGGTTTCAAAACCATTTACTTTATAGAATTAAAATAAAAACACTAAATGCGTGCAAACAATTGATAAGAAGGGAGAAGGTTTCAGGCCTTCATTTGTGGGCTGCAAACATTTAGCTTTCTGTATTAGTATGATGTTAGTAATGGAAATATTTTCATATAGCACTTTCTTGTAGTAGTTGAACATTGAAGTAGCCTTGCTAAGAGATGGCAAAACCAGCAGTGGCCCCAAGGCAGTTTGAGTTTGAGACCCCTGCCCTACAAGGAACTTTCATTTTGTCGGCCCTTGAGGACAAAAGCAATAATGTCTACTGACCCGGTGGCAGGCATTAAGAATAACTACATAGAAATAGCCAGTCTTCTCTCTGATGGCCTTGTTTGTTTATGTAGGTCCTATAGAGCCATCAGTATTAAACTGAAACAGTTCAGAACTCCTTGTAGTACTTTTAAGCAGGAAGGAAACCATATGCTGCGTTTTAGCCGGCTCGCATTACTGTTTTCCCCAAATTTGGCGATGGTGTCTGAAATGAGATACAGCTAGAATCATGTTGTCCTGATCAGCAGCAGACACAATGTACATTCAACTATATTCATAATATGGCAGCTCACAGTATTTCAGCATGAAAAGACACAATTACACTTCCTGATAATCCAGAACATACATGATACATATTATTTCACTGCATTGCACAGATTCAAGCAACAACATTAAAACAGATTTTTGATATACACCTGTTGCTTTGAAAATATACACCCATACTTCATTAGATGGTACGACAAAAAAAAATTTAAAAACATTTCTCTCAACATTTGGAAAACATAAACAGAAAATATTAAAGGTAGGGTAGGCAATCCTGTTCAGAAGCACGTTTTGTTATACTGGGTGAAATGGTCCCTCTGTTGTCAGAGGAATCAATTCGTTATGTCTTCAGAAAAAAGAACGGAGAAAATCAGAGCTCTCTGTCAGCTGCAGGACTGAGAAAAC